GTCTCAAGTCACTGCCACGTCCACTATCCAGACTTTTTTGTCTTTCTTATCGATAATAGTTGTTGTTATTATTATTATTAAAACAAAAGTTCTGCCATTTAGCAGGCAAAAAAAAGAGCAAACAGAGAACTAAAGAAGGTATGAGCAAGAGAATTTTCACAGCAACAATATCCGCAGTGAGGTTTGTCAGATAACAGAGAAGTTAGCACACCGGCATAAGGGACCTGGGTATAAGCAATTAACTTTGTCACGAGATCTAGGGCATTACCTGGAAACAGAAGAAAATTTCACAAAAGCTTTTTTGAGATTGTTTCCAAATGTTGTGAACGTTATTATCAATGATATGTAGATCGATCAAACAACTTATGAAAAAAAATGGGCAAAGTGATATTACAGAACAGCTAACTTCAGAATCTACAGCTAAACTAGCTGAGCAACTGCAACTAAGACAAGAGCTTAGTTTATGTTGGTAATTCTGATAATCACAAAATAATCTTGGAGATTTTAAAGAGCAACTGCTCAGCAAGAATAAACCAGAATTTAAACAGAAAGACTTGCTAGAAAAAATAGATCAATCAACAGCAGATTATTTCAAGAGTGAAGCCCTACCTATTCAGGATTTCTTTCAAAAAAGGCTGACGACACAGACAGAAATTGGCCAAACAAAGCACCTTAAAAACATGGGAAGTTATAGGGAAGAACTGGGACACATGGAGTTAACATACCTTGGGAGCAAAACAGTCATGACTACTGCTAGAATTACAGCACTTTCATCTATCTTGCAAAAGGCAGAAGAAGTTTTAAAAGTCACTAAGGAGAACAAGGTGAAGAAAGAGAAGAGTGAGTTAAGTTTTTGTGCGACTAGATGCCAGGAACAGTTATGCATTCTCCAAAGTAGGATAAACGAAAAGACCCAATTGCCTGTGCCCTTGCTTCAAAGCATGGCCCACCTTGTTCATTTGCCTAAAATAAATGGAGAACTAGACTTGGAAAACATGAGACTTGAGTATCTTGAACATGTACAAGAGGAAGCTATTGACCAGTTATTGGGCCAGCTCAGCCACTTTGAGGTGCTGAAACTCTTGCTGATGTTGAGAAGAATCTGCAATGGACTGGAACTAAGCTAGAGGGACTGATGATTGTCCTGAAAGAATCTCAGTCTAAGT